CCAAATGACAAATGAGTTTGCCATCACTGAGCTTGATAAACAGTGAGCTGTTTATCAGAGATGTTTGAACAAGTACTTGCAGTGGCTAGGTTCCTGTGGCCCAATCAATCAGCACATCTTTCATTTGCCAGGGAATGCCACTTGCTATCCAAAATGCATGTTCTGAGAAGCAAATGACATAGGTGAAGTGGCAGATGGATCTACAAAATGCAATTTAAAAGGAAGACACTCTTGTCCATGCGTAACCACCACAAAAAGAAAAGCTCTAGTGAAAAGTGCATGATCTTATTGCTACAGGTGAATTAGACACTAACTAGGTAAGAAGTTTCTGCTCAATGACTGTCTCTTTTTTGGGTTCTGAGGTTCAAAACACTAACATTTTGGGAGTGAAACCCAAACATTTTTGCCTGGAATTGACACACTGCTTGACATTTTAGCCAGAGCTGTGGTTCAGATACCTTTTTGCTGTTCCTCACTAGGGTCTCCTCTTGGACTACAGCTTCCTGATCACAAAAGAGGAACATAATCACTTGTCCCACTGAATTATGAGGATTACAGGAAACTCACTAGGAGTTTAGGTCACAAAGAATGAGGCAGTGAAGTGACTACATCCCCGAGTGACCTTGTGTATTTTTCATAGTCAAATATTTGGGAGTTTGGGCATAAGGTTATCTTTTTCAAAACATAAATAAATCATTTTCTGTCCCAAATTGGGATCTTCACTCCTGAGACCCTCATGCTATTTATGTTGTCAATTTGAAGTGAACAATGTATCCTTTCCTCCCTCCATCCCCCTGCGGAGAGGTGGCACTCATGCCTCTGATCTCTCAAGGTTTACATGCCCAAAGAAATGATCTGAATTAGGGAAACAAATGCCTTGTTCTGAGGGGCTGGGAAGCTCCAGTGCAGCTCAGATGGTCTGCTAGGGTGGAGACAATTTCTAGGTAGGCATCCTCAGTCTGCATCTCTGAACCAGAGCTGAGCCTCAGAGAAACTCCCATCTTTTGCTTTGTCTCCTTAGAGGATTTTCCTTCCCAAAACATTTGCCCAGAGGACCTGATGCAATTATAAGCACAGAAAAAGCAGAACAAACCCTTTGAGATGGCTGGCTGCATCCTCATCCTCCTGGAAATGCCTTGTCATGCCACAGTTCTCCAGTGCCATCCTCTCCAGCAGCTTGTGGTCTACGTCATTGCCAATGCCAATGGTGAAGAGGCAGAATTTATCACGGATGGCATCCTTGGTGTTGCTGAGGATTTTGGACGACTGTGTTTCCCCAACAGTGGGCCTCCCATCCGTGAGGAAGATGATCAGAGAGACGCTCCTGGCATCAATGTCGTTCTGAGCAATGTAATCATTTAGCAGCTTTGCACCAGTCTGGAGAGCACCATTAATATTAGTCCCTGGGAAGGTACCAAAATGATTAGCTCATTTCTCCTTCTAAGAGTGGTAAAAATAATTTCCCTAAGCTCCCTTTAGTGTAATGACAGCAACTCTGTTCATTGGGATGTTCCTCTCTACATGAGGTTGCACAAGCCCTTTAACTTAGTTCAGCTGTGGTACTCAGCACCAGTTTGGGACAGGTGTTTCCAGTCTTATGAATTGAATTATAAATTGCAGTTTATTATATGAAATTGCTGTAACCTTGAATGTTTCAATGTACAATAACCAGCCATGGTAAGCAGAGTCACAGCACATACCATATCCTTCTGGTACATTAAAAAAAACACCCAGTTAAACTGAAATTAGGGACTCTCCCAGATGGTATCTGAACTGGGAAAACAAGTTCTGCTCATTTTGTCTGAAGGGCACAAGATTTGAAGAGAGGAAAAAAGCCTTTAAATAAGAAAACAAGTTGTTGGGTCTGATCTTCAAACCCTAGGGGCTAACAAAGTTTAAAGGGAAGAGAAACGGCTTTGTTAGCTGAGGAGTGTTTTCACAAAACAATTGGCTAGTGAAGAATGGAGCTGCCTGAAGTGGGGAGAGAGGGACAAAACAGAAAATAAATGAGGGAATAGATGTACTTTAGAAGAATAACCATGAAAAGTATTCAAACCTAATGTGTATTCAGAAATAAAGAAAGCAGGAAAATGAGTACAGGTATCTCCTTGCTCCGTGTACTTCTTGTGCTAGTCAAAGGAAAGAGGGATTGGGTGTGGAACCTTTGCAAGATTAGTAAATCTGGGTTAAAAACAGCTCAGGCACCTAGAAATTGAGCATGCACAGCTCCAGTGACTGCAGCAAGACAAGGAACAGGAAAGGGACTAAGACTTCTGGAAAGTCCTCAAAATCCAGACTGTGGGTTTTTTGCAAAATGGTTTTGAACCAAACCCCTGCACCTAAAAATCCTAATACTCTCTCAATCTCCATCCAGATCCAGAAAGAATTTTTCTGAAATTTCAGAAAGAATTTTTTCCCCAGAAAAAAAAAAAAAAAGAAAACCATCCCATGCAGCAGATGGTGTCATTTCAAACCCAGCCACATCAAAGCCATCATCACTGAAAGCTGCCTTTTGCCACATGCACAAATACTTAGCAGCAATATTTTGTTTCCATTTCTTTGGTATGTGAGTATGACACAGTGGTGTAAGCACAGCACGTTCTTGGTGTGTGATCTGTGAGCCCGAGTACATTCATTTCCACTGGAAGATGTTCAAGCAACAGCACTTTTATAGGGAAAAATGCAGACTTAGCCAAAACTAAAGGACCACTGGCCCGTGCTGGAGAATCACTGCACCTTTTTACCTGAGTTAATAATTTCCTTTAATTTTTATTCTCTGTCATGTTCATGGGCAAACTCAGCTGGTTCCTGCACAGCTCTTTTGGCAATTCGGGAGTAAAAAGCTTTGTACTCCCAGTTTAGTCCCACTATCAGTAATTGTTGAACTGGGCAGGTCCCTTGACCACTTCCTAAACTCTTCCTCTCACAATACAAACAGTAGAGCAAACCATCCTGTTTGCTGTGGTTTTCCATCAGAGAGTTTCCTTTGCTAGGAGTGGTCACTGCTCAGGGGCAACCATAGGAAGGCCCTGTCTGACCTTCAACCAGCAGTGACTGCTCGCGTGGGGAAGGATTTGCATAGGTCATTTTGCAGCTCTCTGCTTACCTGGGGTGCGCTCAGCTAGGATGGGCACAGCTGCCAAAAGATGTATGATGACAAACCTCACTATGTTTTGTTCATACCAGTGTCCATAGCCTCATAGGAGACCACTAAATCAATTTCAAAATCATGACTGCACTCTGCCACTGTTCTGGGGTCTCCTCCTCTTCCCTTTTGGGAACAAGGCACAAGCAAAAAGGAACAAGAAATTCTTAAATGTCGTTCTGGCTGCCTCTGGGTAGAGACAAGTAGAAGACAGTACTAGGTGAGAAACTAGCTCTTGTAGAAGGCAATCCCACAGCCCACACTGGGTAATCCACCTCTGGAGTTTCCAGCCCAGACAAAATCACGTGCCTCCTTTTACACAGGCTTTCAGAAACTGCACAAGTACTGACCTTGTGTGTTCCTTCACCAAGATATGGTATTTTTTCCTGTGTCCTCAAGAAATAACCTTGGGAACTTTCCCATTCTGAGGGTCTCAGTAGATAAATGGGAGAATGGGCCCAACTTGGCTTTAATATCAAGTCATATGACTGGATCTGGCGACACCTTCCCATCGCACACACAGATAAAGGGCACCATATTCTTCTGTCACATAATTCTGAGTGGAGGAAGGGAAGGGACCCCCTTGTCCCATGACCTAAGTCCCAATATCTTTTCATTGCGACATGCTTCAGGACCACTTTCACCACTCGCCATTCTGGTGTAGTTAACTGGATAGCAAAATTAATACCATTCACATCTCTGGATCATACCTCCAGTAGGTGACATGTTATGAATGTACTTTTTGGCATCTCTTATATTATTTGGAGTGACTTGCACCAGCCGGTCCTGCTGCCAGACCTTTATTCGGTTAGAAAAGCCAATGATATTGAAGTGGTCTTCAGGCCTTAGGTCCTGGAGAATTGTGAAGAGAGCTTCTTTGGTCTAGAAAGAGAAGAGAAAGGAGACCAGTAGGCACAACTGTCACTGCTTTAGTGGGCAAGAATTTAATTCTTGAGATGTTTACTGATCTTATAGATATTTCTATACTGCTAGTTGGGCTTATGAAGAAAATTGGGATGTCTTTCCCTGTCTCAAGACCTGATTTCTGTGGTGTCAGGTGCTATGTACATAAGATATGAAAGAACAACTCCTGCCCAAAAGATCTTGCAAAGTTGTGACACAGGTTTAGACCTAACTAAACCTAAAAATCATGCATAACAATTAGGATAAAAGCTTCCAGTGACTGGGAGTACCATGCCCTGAACTAGGGGTTACTGAAAATGTTGACTAACATCAAAAAACTCATGGAGTTCTTCTAAAGCCCCCTAGACTTGCAGTAAGCTGTAAGTGACATAGTTAAAAAGGTACTTGTAAGTTGAAATACTTCTAAATACGTCAAGGATGCACATGCTGTGTTCATAATTAGGATACTGATTGATATATATACATAGTCCAACAAATAATTCCAGCAATTCACAACTGTTTAAGCTAAAATGTTCAAATGACTAAGATATAAAAAAAAGTCCTGACTAGTCATTGCAGATTCTACCTGATAGTCAGTTTTGTGCCAGGCACGTTGTTCTTCCAGCAACATGCCAGTGTTATATAGCTCTGCTGTTCGTCGTCCTATGTAAATATAGGCATAGAGTGAGGAAAGCTGGTATCAAAACCAATTCACAGTGAGAGAGGTTAAGGTTCCTGGGTGATGGGAAAGACAGACCACTGAGAATAAGCCAACAGGAAGAGTGCAGATGTGTCCAGTTCTCTCCAGTGTGAACAACTTTGATTTAGCAGCCATGCAGCTGCATTCACATGGAGACAAGCTTGAGCTTAGTAAAACCAGCTGAGAGAAGATGCCCAAAAGCAGCCTGCCCATGCAAACATTGCTTATATTTGAATGCAAAACACATAGGAGGAATATATGGCAGTATCTCTAAGTAAAGGGATCAGCAGCTTCTCAGCTCTGCCCCTTCTTGGCCACCATTAAACCTTTCAAATTGCAAGGAAAGCTATGAAGGAAATAATATGGTGGATTTAAAGGTTTCTTTCATGCCTATCAGGGCATGGGAAGGGCTTGTCCAGAAAAAAATACAAAAGGGAATCAGCAGTGCTGGAAACTAGATGTTTCTAGGCCTGATGTTGCTATGTAAAGACAGTTTGGGAAGGAGCTCAAGGACTGATCAAGCTGTGTCATCAATATCCCTCTGGATTCTGCATTGAAGCTGATGATGCAACTGCAAACAAATTACCCACCACAGTGGAATCTCTAATCCTCCCATCTGGTGACTTGGCTTCCAGTCCATCTGAAGTTAAGGGGAATATTTCCCATAGCTTTAAACATTTTGGAGCCAGGTCTGTAGTCCCTCCCTGCCTGTTTCTTTCCTCTAAACCATTTTCCTCTATAGGGACTGCAGGATTCATCCCTCTGTCTGCTTAGCTGGAACATAGCTCCACGTCTCGCCACCATGCATTTTACAAATGTTTCACAGATACTAAAACAAATGCTGGTGGAAGAGGCTCTTTCAAAGAGAAGGGGAGAACCCCGCTAGGTTCACATCATGATGTGCACCAAATAAACCTTCAAGAAGATGAATGCCTGTCCTAAACATGAGGGCTGTCTCCCTAGTCTAACAGTCTATAAAGAACTTGCCAAGATGAGCTAAATCACAGTTATTTGAAAAAAAAGAGGAAGGTTTTATGCTTTCTCATGTCCTCTTTTACAATAAATAATTTTATAATATCGTAAAAAAATACATCAGGTAACACATGACATCACCTTGCAGAGGGACCCTCAAACATTCACAGACCCATTTTACAGAAATGAAAACCGAGGCATAGACTACTTTAGTAATTATGAAAAGGTCACAAATGGAGAGCTTTCCAAAACTTGGAGTTTCCAGCTCTCTATCCAGTGGGCCAAACTATCTCTCATGGATGCACCCAAGGGCAAAGTAGCAATCATACAGTGGAGAAAATTCGATTTATTTCCTGATAACAAGAGTGGCCCATGCATATGGTCGTCAAAAAATGGGATCAAAGTGAGCAGGAAGTTAAAATGGAGACGCTTCCATCCTGTGTGAGTGTGATCAGGCCTTCATACCAACCTCTGCTGAAGGAAATTTTGGGCAGGATGTTACAGCAAGAAACAATGAGCTCCCCATGTGCAACATTCCTCCTCCACTCCCTCCCAGGGTAGGCAAAGGGGAGAAACAGAGTTGCCTAGAAGCAACGATTTGGAGGGAAACTCCCCAAGTCTCATTATCCATATTATAGCTCTGATTATAATTAACATCACTTAACCTTTCCCATTACAAAACCCCTCTTTTCAGTTTTTTGCAGCTCTGTCAAACTGCACTTTTCTCAGAGGGATTTATTGGGCTCAAGCAGCTCTCTTGTTTCTGAGAGCAAGGCAAGAGGAAAAATACATTTGCTTTGGCCACCTTGCAGGGAGAATGCATCTCACCTCCAGTGTGCTCAGAAATTGCTTTTGACATTCTTGTCT